TAATTATATCTGTTTAACTATTTTATAATTGTACTTAATTTTAAATCTTTAAATAAATAATAGAACACATATTTTTCTTTCATATAGTTACAAAATATCAAATGACCTTAAAATTTTCAAAATTAACATAAATAGAATGTGTTTCCCCAAAAACCCTTTAGTGGTTTCGCACGTGTAAAATCTGAATGCAGGCATACTATTTACTTTGCTGAAAGTAAGAAAGGAGGACTTTCCAACGACCTTCTCCTTCCTCATGGTCAATCTCTTTACAGATGGCAAGAAGAACATTGGATTAAAATTGAAATATGCACCTACAAAGGATTTGCAAGAGGGAGAGATACCTTCCTGTAAATTTGGTTATGAAATCTACCTTGGACAACTCCAAGGACTTAAACACTATCGTAAATTAAAGTTAACAAATCCTAATTAAACTAAATAACATGCAATTTAAAGTAAATTTACAAGGACAAGATGTACCCAAAATAAATTAAGCATGTTCATTATTAAATTAAAATACTATCTACTGATAGATCTGAAAATTAAACTATTACGAAACTGGAGATTATACCCTAATTAAAACTAAAACAAACATGAATAGCAATTAAATTAACATGCTTGAAGTTAAGAAGAAGTGTAAACGCCATTAAGTAATCATTGAAGAAATGCTACTTATTATAAATATTAAATTAATTGCAGACAGAAAAGGAACAGTATCTTGAATAAATTTGAAAGATTGAAGTTCATTACATGAAACGAAATTGCTGAAGCAGATACATGAATTAATTCATCTACTGGAATGATGAAAAACAACCTAGATCTACTGGAAATTGTGCTGAAATCCAAAATCTGAAAGCAATTGTAGAGAAATTGAAAGTCTAAAAATTTACAAATGTTTGAGTAGGGCTGATCGTGTGTTCTCCTTTACAAAATTTCCTTTTTGTTCTCCTTTGACCGACAGTAACTCCTCACTTTCTGTAGTTATAAAGTTGTGGGTGGTTTCTTAAGATAGTTAGATAATTCAACAATTGATCTAGTCAGATCTCCTTTCAAATTTTCGTCACATGTGCCTTTATTAGATAACTACCTTCTACAACCGCAATCTTCTCTTAAATTTCAACTAAAACAATCCTTTTTTTGACTTAAAGAGGTAATTATACAGTAAAATCTTATCTTTATCTTCCTTTTCTGCCAATGTGGCAGCTGATCTATTATGGAGCCCATAATAACAAATTTGACATGACTTAATCTCTTCCATCCATTTAAAAATATTTTGACACGTGGCATGATTTTCAATTTTTGCAATTTATGGTTTAAACAAAATGTTAAATCCAATAGCTAATTTGGTAGACTACCAACAAAATAAATAGCTGATTTGGTAAGTTACAAACTATACAAAATTAGTGTAAATTGATCTGAAAAGGAAAATTATAAATTTTTTGGCTAAACAAAAGAATAAAAAGTGTTTTACAATTTAAATTATAAAATAGTAAATTTATAAAAAAAAAAAATTATAATTATATTATAATAAACAAAAAAAATTATCACAACCCGTGCTTGCAGCTGCTGGGCCACTGAAAACCTCAGGCTGTCAGACCTCAAGAGGAATATTATTTGAGAAAATGAAGACAACAAAACTGGCCCTTATTTTGGTAAGGTTGGGCCGATTCTACAAGATTTGGTAACGGTCAGATCTCAAGAGGAATTTTATTTGGGCAAAGAGAGTCAACAAAACTGGCCCTCATTTTCGTAAGGTTGGGCCGATTCCACAAGATTTGGTAACCGTCAGACCTCAGGACTCAAAACGAATATTATTTGGGCAAAGAATGACAACAAAACTGGCCCTTATTTTTGTAAGGTTGGGCCGATTCTACAAAAATTTGGTAGGGAATGACGGTTGTGTTCTCTTACATCCATTTTTCACTCTTTTTTTTCTTTTTTTCTTTTTTTGAGCAATTAAAAAAGGACCCGTTAAATTTACAGAATTTGCCTAACTAAAAATAATATAATTACAATATCATGTGATATTATAAATTTATAATATAATGTGTTATTATATAATTAACTATTTTTATTTAAAAATTTACTCGTGATATTTTATATATCTATTTATTTAATATAATGTATTATTATATAAATGATTCTTTTTATTTAGAAATTTATTCATGATATTTTATTTATCCATTTATTTAATATCATGTTATATTCATTTAATATCACGTCATAATTATATGCTTATAATTTTACATAATATTATAATTATAGTATTGTTGTTTGTCTAATTAGTTAATAGAGGCTCATTTATTTTTTAGTTAAGATGAGCTAAACAACAATAATAAATAAATCTTCTCAAGCTCTGTGTAATTCGACTTCCCTTGATACTCACATGTTCAGAGAAGACTTAAATCTACCCTTATTTAATCATCATGCTAAGTACCATATCTTGTTGCTATCTAGCTTTTTCCCTTTAGATTATGGGTTTTAGATTTGACTTCAAAGTTAGAACTTAAATAAATAAATACAAAAACAGTCTAGACTAGGTAACCTTTATAACCTCAATATATAATCCTGAGAATGTTCTACAAATCGGTACATTATGATTTTAAGCTCATGGAATGATGGAAGTAGAGGTTTTGCCAGTTTACTAAAAATGTTTAATGGTCGCTATATGCTAATCTGGTTTCAGATTATTGCATGCTCAATTTACACAAGTGTGAAATCTTGAATTGCTCTGTGCATTATGGCCAGGGCAGCTGGGAACAGGAACTCATGAAACTTCACTTGCAATTAAGAAACAACAGTCTGTTCACATTTTATCCAAAAAGAAACAGCAGTCTAACCAACACACGTTAGGGAAGCAGGTGGACCATTGACTCCCTGTGTGGCTCAGTGGCTGGACTGCCAGGTTTGATGTCTGAATCCTGCCAACAGCCAACTCAATCCCCTCCCATAACAACAACCCCCCCC